CATAACAAGTAAAGAGAAAATGAGTTCCTTGTGACTTGTTGAAATTATAAATGCTGTTTGTGATTGCTTCTAAAAGCTTGCCTTCATCATTTTGGAAAAAAATATTTGTTTCAGTAATGTGAAACATTGTGAGTAATTGGTTGTGATCCAATTTCTCATGAAGGACATGATCAAGTACAGTTTTGAGATTGATATCCTTCAAGTGTAAGTCATATGATCCAAGATAATGTTCTAAATCATTTAAGAACAGATGATATTTCCTTCCATTAATTGATTGATGTAGGATCCTTAATGCTATGACTGACTCTGTATAATACTGACTAATCAGCATCCTTTCTGTACGGTCTAATGCTGAACTTAAAACATCCCAAGCAAACACCCTTCCACTGAAAATCTCTTGTAATTGCTTGTTCTGCTCTATCACTGTCAAAAAACCATGTTGTATAAATGTTGTTTTCCCTATTCCTGGTGCTCCAGCAACCACTATATTTTGGTATAATCTTTTGAATGATTCAAGAGCATCTGTATGACGAAAATTAGGATGATGATTATGTAATCGTTTCCAAATCTTGATATTATCAATAATACATTTCTCTAACATTTTCATTTCCTTTTCTCTACCAACAAAAGGAAAACAGTTGCCAATAACTGTAAATGAAATATCATCTGAAAGTTCAAATGGGCCAAGTGCAAAGCTATTGAGATGGCAATCATTTGGTGGTTTATACTTCGAAAGTACTTCAGCAACATCATACTTCACTTTTTTGTTATCTGCTTTTAGGTATGAATGTCAAATGAACAGTAACAATAATAGATGCATGTACAAGAGAATGGAAAAAACCACAAGTTAGTCAAAGTTATAATAGTATACCAAACAAATAAATAAACAAAATGGAATTAACAAAATATAATTTTTTTGTATATTATTTTATGCAATTTGTTCATTACCTTCAACTTTGCCAAAATTTACCAATGCACGCTGCAACATATCCACTTGTTTTAACCTATCTTCCACAACATTCACCAATCTTGCCTTTTCTTCCTTCAAATAATTAAACTCCCCATCTCTTTTTTCATTCTCTCCTCCCCACAATTCCTCCAACCTCTGCCCTTCCCGCCCCCTTTCAAATTCCTCCAACTTCTTATTTGCTTTCTCATACATTCTCTTTGCATTGTTTACTTCGTTTCTCACTTCTTCAACAGTTGCCATTTTTTAAAAAGATTTAAAATGAATTTTTAAAAAAAAAATTTTTTTTAATTGATTACAATTAATTGCATAATTTCGACCAATGATAAATTAGTGGGCACATGACTTGGAATTAAAAATTTTTTTACAACGAATTAAATAAATGACAAATTTTATTTTAATCCAACTAATACTGTAATAATAGAAAATATATAAAAACACAAAGTTAATGAATTGTCAGAGTGCTTGTATGGGAGGATAATACTCAAACCCAAAACCATTATAAGTATTACCTATTCTTTGGACACTGACAATTTTCACTATTACTACTATTTTTATTATTATCAACAATGTTATTATTAATATTTGTATTTTATTCTTCTTTTCTTTGTTGACCCATTCCTGAATTGCTTCTATTGTTTTACTTTTAGGATTGGTTTTTCATTGATAGAAGTTTGTTTATTGTAGAAGCAGCAATTCCCTTTCCCTCTGCAAGTGATTTGCGAATTTCCATGGCCATTTCACCAAATGAAAAATGAATATTTTTTATCACCAATGAATTTGTTTGTTTTATTTTTATAAATTTGTTTTTTCTTGCTTCTACACAGTGAAACTCAATTTAGTGGATTTCGATTTAGTGGATGTCTAATAAAAATTTTGATTTAACGGACTGAGGCTCAGAACTGGGCTGCATTTTTATATAGTAAATTTTCTCGATATAACGGATGTACTAATTAAATCTTGATTTAACGGATTTTTGAAAATTTTCACTAAGTGGTCAAAATTATCCACTAAATCAAGTTTCACTGTGTATTTTATTGATTGTTTGATCGATTTTTTGATTTATAATATTGATTTTGTAAGTTTTATAGTGAAGTAAAAAACCAAACAAGTGTTCGATTAACAACCCACAAAAAAGTTCACAGTTGAAAGTAAGCATTTTTTAAATGTTATTATGGTTGTAAATTTTTATTGATTATTTGTTTTTTAAACTAGAATAAAATTGTGTTTAATGGTAATTATCAGAAGGATTTGTTATTTGAGTTTTTTTACCTGAAGACTAAGTGAATTGGTGATGTTTTTATAATATTCCAATACAAGGTGGAATTATTTACCAATGAGAGAAAAACAAATATTTATAGAACATATCCTTGAATGTAGAATTTGTTTGAAAACTCAAATAACATTTTTTTTATTGATAAGCAATGCAATATGATGATCAACAATTACATTTACATAAAGGTGAATTTTCTTTGTAGTAATAGTCAGTAAAAAAAATAGATCAATATTGTAATAATAAGATTATTTTCCTTCTATGGATTTCTGCTTTTTGTTGGGTAATAGTATATTGCAAGCATGCAATCCAAGTTTCACACTTTGAATGCTATTATGGCACTTAGCCCTTTACTAATGCCTTTGTTAATAGCAAACCTTAAAACCTTACATTACATTACTAGCTAGTTTTCCCTTTAATAATATTAGTGTTGGCCACTAAAACGTCCTTATAATTATATATTATTATGTATTTTTAACATAAAAAGGATTATCCTCTAAGAAATAAAGGTAACTTGTATTTTTACAATAG